TAATTATTAATTTATTGTAAAAACATGACAGATAATCTGTGAAACAGATCCAGTTCGTTTCTGCTCCTCCATGATGTCACAGACACCAGTGGACGGGATGGGCGGGGCTCAGTCTAGTGATCTTTAAGTCTATGACTCAACAAAATAAACTCACACCAACTTCAGAACCAGTGTTTACAAACAGGTAAATATATTTTACAGTTTAGCCTCTGAATGCAGAGGACTTTACTCAACAGGAAGAACAAGCCTCTGCCTCATGGTGTCCAACTGTTCTGGTCCCAGATCTGGTCCCACCTGCATGGAAACCAGACCGGAGCACTGAAGGATTTAGGAGAATAAAAGCCTTTGAGCAGAGGCCCATTCACATGCATCTCCTTCAGCCTCACATTAAAGAGTGCAGGAGGAGGAGGAGGAGGAGGTGAAACTTTGAAAAAGGAGGATTATTGTCAGTGAAAGGAGACGGATGCAAAGATAACGAGCAGCTCTGGGGGAGTTCACTGCATTTAAAAAGATACGGGGGGTGTTGGGTTAGTGTGGGGGAGACCTGAAGCTTCCTGCTGCCTCGRTGCTTTTTATTAACACAGCCTATGGCAGGCCATTTTAACATTAAATCAGCTTCATCTGACTATGTTTAAAATGAGTTTTGATGAGGAACAACTACATTATGACCATCCTAAATGGTCATTTAAATTCATTTCAGTTTATATAGCACAACGTCACATCAAACATGGTCTCAGGACACCACTGTACTTAATAACAATAAATCTAAAGAAGCAGCAGATTGTGTTGAATCACTTCATCAGTCATGAGCAGCACATGGTGACAGTGGAGAGCTCCACAATGCATAGTCGCAAAACCAATTTTAGACAATTGGAATGTAACTGTGGTGAAGTTGATTARGTGTAAAAGCGGCCTGCCATACAGGTGAGCTTCTTCGTGCTGCTGAAATGATCTGCAGCACAACCCGACTGTTAAATTAGCAAGATGGATGTAAGAGCGAGCAACCGTCCACATCTTCTTTTCATCTCCACAGTTAACAAAAAAAGGTTTTCAGACTCTGGTTTAAAAAAACAAACAAACTACGGATGTTTCGTTAAGCGTGTGTGCGCACGCGTGTGTGTACATGTTTTTGCTCCATGGTGGGGACAATAYTGACCACGTCCCTGGTGCACACAGCCTGGTGAGGTTAGGTTTGGCTGCAGAAACGAGCGGGAAATGAATGGAAGTCAATGCCAAGTCCCCTCGAGGATA